TTCTCTATACTCTCCAACCTATCTAAAATATATTGTACCGCAAGTTTCGGATCGATCTTAAATATTTGTGGCATCTTCTTAACTCCGTAATACCACTTTATGATTTCATCGAATCCCACAGGCGGCTTCTCACACCAGACATCTTTCCCAAACTTAATGACCGAAGTTAGGGGTTCCAACAACATGTCCTCGTCGTAAAAATTGTCCTCGAGTTTATTCATTCTTACATAGTGCAAAGGTAGTCTCTTCGTCTCTACAACTTTATCAGGATCAAAGTAGTCACCCATCGAAACACATATATTGTTTAAAACCTCATCAGAAGAAGATCCCTTTTCTTCTCCAGGTCTAATATAATACGATGGTGTCACTTTCTTCAACTTTACGCTAATCTTTTGTTTCGCCCGCTTGTCTTCTGGACTAGGTTTGGCTGCCTCCTCCGTATCACGTTTCGGGCTGAGTAAACGGGAATCGATTAGGAGCGATATAAATTCCTCTTTTAGCGATGGATTATCGCGTAAAATCACATCGAGTTGTTCAATAAGAACCTCGATACCACCTAGAGACCTAAACGCATCGAGAAACACTTTGCAGAAACCCTTGTCCAGAGCTTCTACTTTGTTTAAGAACTCACGAGCCGTTCGTTCCAAGTCTGATTTCGCACTTTCAGTCTTCTCTTTGATTGAGTTTCTTCCACCAAGAGAAGCTAAATCCGATAAAAGCTGATGATACTCTTCGACCAAACCCTCGTGATTACCGAGAATGTAAACGATTCTGTTTTTGAGATCGCTAAAGCTTAAAGAACCAGATTGATAAGACTTCATTGCATCGACATATTGGTCGAAGATACTCTTATCATCCATTGTTTTCAATCTTTTTACGAAGTCACAACCTCGTTGAATCTCTTCCTCCGAACGAGGTCTCTTGCAATTTTTGATAAAAGTCTCTCTCCTGATTCATCAGAGGTCTCTTGCAATTTTTCATGATCGTTGAATTCTTCACTTTATTCTCTTGCAATTCACATTTTTTCATGGTTTGTTTACACTCTTTTTATAAAGGTCTCTAAATCCACTCTCTACATGATTTACGTTTTATTATAACTCGTAATCCTATTTGGGTTAGATATATGGCCCAATAGCCTTTTATTTTGTCGTTGGAATGTTCAATAAAATTTTGATAGTTTCTTCACTTGTGACTTGTGAGGTACAAATTAATATGCAAATTCTAACAAATTATCAGCAAATTTTACCTTTTCAAAACTAGTTTCTCTGCAGCTACTTTTACCTCATATCATATTTTTTTGTTTGAGATAAAAAGAAAACAAAAAAACTGATAAAATATTCGTTTTTTGCGACTAACAATAACATTATAGTAGAATAAGTATTTAATCGGCGAAATTTTTTATTCTAGGTTTTTTTCACATAAATTAAAAACTAATTAAATTTTTTATTTTATTTGATAAAAGTAATTATAAGCTAAAAAATATAGATAAAAATAGAAAAATTGATCATAAAAATGATTAAAAATATAAAACAACAAATAATATAAAACGAAAAGGTAAGTCTAGAAAGACAACAAATATAAAACGGAAAACATATGTTGTTTTTGTTATAGTGTAAATTCTATAAAAGTTCTCTAAGATTACGCACTGAGATGTTTGGACAAACTTTACATCAAGCTAACATCATAACGAGGCATTTATAAAAGACGCGTAAATTATGATTATCACTGTTTGTACTAAGGTTTTTTGATTTTGTATTTACAACCGACTATCTTAAAATCTTAATACTTAAATTTAAACTACAAAGGCTAAGATTTGATTTTCCATTAGATTAGTCCATTAATCGGTAGTTTAACTAGTTCTGACTTCTAAGTATGTTCATTGTTGGACTCTCAGTTATCAATCAAATATCTTGTTTTTTTGGGTTAATTGC